TAACTAAGCTATAATATCACACTGTAATCGAAAAATGATTTTGTTTTAAGTTATGTATTTGGCTGTTTTACATTCGTTTGACATATTTTAGAATATATATATAGTTATATATATAGTGAGAGAGTGAGTTTAACTAATATTATTAGGTTTAGATAGTTGTTTTCAATCTATGATTTATTGTATCCACTACCAATATAAATATATTTGAAACTCCTATATAATTGAATATGTAGTATCATATGTATTTATATTATATTATAAATTTGTGTAATGTAATATATGATATTTAATTATTTCTATAAATAAATAATGTTAATTCATTTATATTGAATATGTTTAATTTTTTGTTTGGAAACATAAATTAGATTAGGTAATTCTAAGATTAGTTTACTTTTAACAACTTTATATAATAAAAAAATAAATAAATAGTCAATCCATCAAATTAAAATAATTAATTGAAAAAGTCTTATACGGGTGACACGTTAACAGAATGCACTTAAGTGCCTTCTAAATTAATATATATGATTGGGAAAAAAGTTTATATTAAATATTGACCATTAGATGTAATCTACGATATTTAATTGTTTCTATAAATAAATTATAGAAATTCATTTATATTTAATATATTTAATTATTTGTTTGTAAACATATATTAGATTAGGTAAATTTAGGATTAGTTTTTTTAATAAATTTAAATAAATAAATAATTGTCAACCAATAAATTTAAACAATTAATCAGAGAATATTTTTATATGAGTGGCACGTTAACAAAAGTCAATTAAATGACTTTTTAATTAATGTATATGTGGAATTTAAATATTGAAATCCCTTTGGTAAAAAGGTTTATGTTAAATATTGACCACTGGATGAATAACAAATGTTAATATGGATTTTTTTTTAAACATTACTAGACAATTCTCACCACTTTCCTTTTTTTTTTTTGATGTATTGTTTATTTTGAGAATTTCAATTGAAAAACTACCATTGACGATGTTCCAAAGATTTTGTAAATCCGAAGTTTTAATATTTTCTCATTTGAAAATATAAGAAACATAAGAAACGAAATTAATACAAGAAATGATGTCATTGTGCTATTTTCATTTTTAGGTTAAGTTTTTGTGTGATTATTGCACCATGCGAATCTACTTTACCATTTCTAGTCAAGTTTTTGTGTGATTTTATGTGATTATTACGGTTTAAACTCGGGAAATTAAGCCACATACCACTCTACTCTTTATTTGACAGCAATCACTCTATTGGTGCCTTTTTAACTAAAGAAATGGGGTGGTGCTTTTTTGTGTCCCCGTTATTGGTGCCTTTGATTTAATTTATTTGTTTTTGGTGATAAAAGTCTGTTTCTAGTAGAGAAATTACAAGATAAATTAACAAACAGACCAGAAAACTGTATGGATAGGCGAAAATGAAGCATGATCGTTCGTTTGTTTCCATTTTGGGATATTGTACAAGAAAAGAAACAAGAAATGTCTTTAAATATGTAGAGTAAGTACTTCGGACTAAAGAAAACGTACTTATATGGTCAATAAAAATAGTGGATCCCCACTAATAAACTAACACTACTTCTAGTATCAGCATTCTCTGAGTATCGTATTTAACATATCATTGTAGAAAGATGTATCAACAATGTAACTGTACATAATTATATAAATAACGTATTATATTAATCAAATAAAGGTTAAAATTTTAAAAGAAAAATGTTGAGATTATCGAATAACACAAAAAAAAATTGGGTGGAATACTGTCGAAAGTAGTAAACATAATTTTGATATAAACTTGGTCTGGTCACGTGTCTGATATTTTTGTTATCTTTACAACTTTATAGAAAACCAAACTGAAGTAAGAAGATAGGATAGTCTAGTGGTAGGCGAGCTTTGGGATTTGCTAAGCAACCCGGGTTCGAAGGCACCCCACTACATCTTATCTTGTGGCCACGGATATGGGCCTATCTTACGGCCCATTTGAATACCCGGAGTGAGGGTCCATCCGTGGGCTGCACCACCACTTTGGGGATTAGTCTGGGCCTCTCCATGGGCCTGGGATACCCCCAAGGTTAAACAAAAAAAAAAAAAAGTAAGAAGATAGGATAACTTGTCTTTTTTTTTAAAAGAAAATTCTAAGAGATGATAAAATACATTTAATTTACATAAAATCATAAAAAATGTATATGACACGTATTCGTAACTTTGGTCTAATATTTTTTGGAAATATAGCATGCGATCGGTCGTATGATAAGTCGACCAAAAATATATGGGACTCAAGCGACAATGAACATCTGGCACCCGATAATAGAAACACAAGCCGAGTTTAGTCTAGGTCAGATTTGGCTCGTGTCTGGATCGTACGACAACAATGACATCAACAGCATTGAAGCAGGCTGGCAGGCCGGTACTCTTTTTTTTTCACTAAAACCTCCAAAATACTTCAAACTTTTCAAATCGATACAAAAATTGTGTATATAAATGACTAAATAACGATTGCTAAATAACTATAATTTGATTATTTACTGCAGATTTATCCGGGATTATATCGTGACTATCAGCCCCGGTTTTTTATATATTGGACGGTAAGTCTGTTATATACAATTCATTTCACTTTCAATTTGATATTTTTCAATTCTAAGTATCAAATCACTAAAATCAAAATAACAATAATAATTATTTCTTAAATTTTATATTTCTGAAAAATATCAAATTGAAAGTGAAATGAATTGTACAAAATACTTAGATTTGATTATGCATTAATTAATAAAATATATGATATATCTACAAAATCTTAATAGTTCATAAAAATATTAATAATTAATCCATTTAACAATAAATTTTAGTATTATTCTGATTTAAAACAAAATCTGTTGAGAAAAATCTAAATAAAATCTTTTCAAAAAAATTCAAAAAATTTGTAAATAAGCAATACATTAAATAACTTGTTAATTAGTAAAAAATAATATTATAAATCAGTGTTAACTGAAATTTTATTATAAAATAATAATTTCTTTATTTTTACATATTTTGTAATCATAGTCTTTATTATATTATAATAGAATTACAAATATGAACTAAATATGAGATAATTGTATTAAAATAGTAGATTAACCTACTTTATCAAGAAAAGTGTTTTATTTTAAACAGCTTTTATAAAAGAATCCATTAATTTAATATTATAAATTCAAAGTCCTTTATTCTTGCAACTCAAAAACAATTATGTAATTTTCTAAATTTCTCCTGAACAAATATGCAATTATGTAAGTAAATATTTCATATTTAAAACGATAATATTCCAAAATATATAAGTATAAAATCTTAATGTTTCATATTTTTAAATACAACACAAAAAAACCAATAATTATGTTATAAGTATCAAAAGTACTATTATAAATTGAAATCTTAATTTATAACAAAACATATAACACTTAATACCATAGCATCCCAAGATATGAAATATGCATAAATTTTACTAATATAATATGTTGCTATAATTAATTTATATTTCTCTAATATCTAGAATACATATTTATAACAGTAATCTATATTATTTAGGGAATTTAAATTCCATAGCATATTAAATAAATAATCTTTGGTAGAAAATTATTTTGACCAAAGATAAAATACTTTAAACTCAAAATATATTCGAAGATTTTATTTACAACTATCAACACATGATTTTACAGTATTTTAAATTATTTAACCATAACAATGTATTTCATGATAAAATCCTAAATATATTAAAATGCTAGATGCTAAAGTATATAGTTTTAAACACAACATGATAATATAAATTATCCTGAATTAATATATTTTCATTAGCATACCTAAATAAATATTAAATTTATCAATATGATTTTGTACAAATATTATTATAGGCGGACGCATACAATGACACGGGCTGTTACAACCACCGATGCGGCGGGTTTGTTCAAACCAGCACCAAGATCCTGGTTGAAGGAGCAATTTCTCGAACCTCCACTTTTGGAGGCCCTCCCGTCGATCTCACAATCAAAATATGGAAAGTTAGTGTTTTTCTCTTTCTTTTTTTTTTTGAATTATTATTATTATTACATAATATTTTTTCTAACTCAAACGTAAATGTAAGTATAGGATCAGAAGCTTGGAAGCTGGTGGCTGGGTCTCTTTATTGACGATGGGCTCTTTGAGCCCATTGGTTATTGGCCTTCTTTCCTGTTCACGCTCTTGAACGAATCTGCAGAGAAAGTTGAGTGGGGAGGTGAGATAGTGAACAAGCAGGCTTTCGGCCATCATACATCGACTCAGATGGGATCCGGCTGTTACCCTGGGAGTGGAATTGGCAAAGTGGCATACATGCGTAATCTTCAGATCGCATTGTCAGAAAATGAATTTCAGCCAGTTCAAGACCTTGAGACAATAGCGACTCGTCCCCGCTACTACGGCGCTAAGATGCTCAATGTTACCTTCTTCTATTATGGAGGACCGGATCATCTCAAGTCAACAGCGAGCCATCTTACCTTATATTATATGCTTCTATATTTTGGTTTAGTTTTATTTTTATTGGTTTAGTTATATATTGTATCACAAGAGCTACAATTAATGTTCGGTTTGATAATAATCACTTATTATTAGCGATTGATGCTTAGACTGCTTGTATTTTATTGTTGTAGTTCAATTCTTAAGTCTAGCTAGCTCAGTTCTCCCAAACACAGAGTATGCAAGTTGTGAAAGTTAAATGCACTGGACACACAAACATGTATAACATTGTTGTGAACCTTGTGAAATTAACTTGCACACATTTACACAGTAGACGCCCACACACGTTTCATAAATTGTCTAAATTTATAACATACCCTACCAAATTAAACCATATGATCTTCGGTTTCTCTATTAATTATCAATGAATATTCAGTTTCATATAGAAAACAGATAATATAGTAAATGGTTTTTATTTTATTTTATTTTATTTCATCACATCTATTATAAAGGAACACGAGATGCAAAAGCTCAATATATATATCAAAACTTTTGACAACAACATTTCTTAGGCACTTTAGGAGAAGGGGAAGCACATTCTCCAGTATGGTAGCCCTTATGAGCACAGTCATTTTGACATTCCCACCAATCGTAGCTATCTGTACACAGGGCATAGCAGTTCTCATATGAGAATTTTTCTGTCTCTGCACCTACATAAACCGGCATAAAGAACAATTATTTATTTTACCAAAAAAAAAAGAATAATAATTTTATTCGATATAAACATGTGTTTTACCGGTCCCGTGTTTTTGTAGTTTACCTATATAACTATATAACTTATCAACAAAAACAATTATGTAAAACACGGTAGAAACTTTAACAGAACTTTTGAATCCATTTCTTAATATGTATGCAAAACACAAACGCATGGTATTTACAAATTCGACATGGTTAGCTATAGTTATATTCTAAGCATACCTGAAACCAGAACGTTAAGATTAGACAACGAAACTGCTAATGTTAGTACGAGTAAGCAAGTCATGAAAGTTTTGGTAGAACCCATACTATTCTTTTTTTTTGTTGAATGAAATGTATTGAGAAAGGATCTTTATTTTGTGGATACTAAAGAGAAGTTATATATATAACTTGGGTGACTGAAATCTTATACTATTAAATTCATTTTCTGTATTAGCCAGTCAAATATTTGTTTTTTTTATGACAAAACTGACATTTATTTGAATACTTGTAGATATCATTTAATTAGTATCTCAAATCATTTAAAATTTTCAAAGATACTGTTTTTTTTTTCTATAAAAGCAAGTGAAAGTAAGTTTTTGTGTGAATGTGATTATTACACTGACATCTATTTGAATACTTGCAGATATCATTTAATTAGTATCCCGAATCAAATTCATTACTATAGTTATTGGTTAAACATAGTTTTTAGACACTTTAAAAATAAATTTGTATTCTGTATCTATTGCAAGCAAAGCTAGTCGAATAATAGATGTCAGTTTTTTTCAAAAAAAAAAATTCTTTGGCTTGCTAATATAGAAAATGAACTTAATGATATAAGATTACTATCACGAAAGTTATATAGAGGGGTGGGGCAAATATCTATAAATTTGATAATATATCAGTTATTTGTGTTGATTCGATCCGTAAAAGTCTGTATATCCAAAATGTTATAAATCAAAACAAATAACAAAATGCAATATTTATCGAAGACGAAGTAAATCACAAATACTAATATTTTCAAAAATAGATATCCAATCTGATTCGTTATATATATACATATATAAATTATATAATCTATATCATTATCTAAGTATATAATATTTTTATCTAATAAATTAACTATTTAGTACTAATTTTTTAAATATGTAGTCTTTTTAGAAAATTGTAATGAAGTATTATTATTTTATATTAATTATTTTCTTAGAAGCATGGGTATTATACTCTTAGTGATTGTGAAATTTGAAGTTTATTTGTTTCTCAACTGAAAATTCAAGGAAACTTTTGTAAAAAAAAAAAAATATATATATATATATATATATATATATATATATATATATATATATATATATATATATATAAAACTATGTAATTATGCTATTTTCAATTTAAATTATGTTTTTGTGTGATTATTACACCCATGCAAATCTACAAAATACAAACTCTTATCATTTTTATGATACCGCCATTTAATCATTACTAACGATAGTTCCACTAAATAGTAATATGTCTTAGATCTCAATTGGTACAACAGATGATAAAACAATAGCAGTATGATGTAGAAGGAGTAAGTTGCACAAGCTATATGTTTTTATTAAAAAATTTAATAAAGTGATTAGTAGATCAATACAATTTTACAGTTATCATAAAAGTTAGTATAATAATATATTTATTTTAAAATAATATTTATATATTTATGATATATACTAATAATATCTTTTTATTAAAAAGAATGAATCTTATTCATTCTATAAATTATATTATAGTTTATATGTGGAATATTATTTAAAAAATAATTTTTATTTTAAAATATTAAATTATTTTTGGAGATAAACATAATTTTAATATTATTAAATACATAAATTAATTAGATATAATTTATATATAATATAATTACATTTATTTGTAGAGTAGTAAATAATTCATATATAAAAGTATCATACAAATTAATATATGTTATATAATTTACTTTAGTTTCTAAATAATACAACTATGTTTATATCTATAATATATATATTGTTATGTTTATTATTAAAAATAATGAATGATGTGTAATTATGTAAGTTAAATTATATTTTAATGTGAAATATTTTTCTTTTTATAAAGTTTAAAATATTTAATTTCAATTTTTATTTTCCAAAATGGAATTTTATTTTATAATATTTTTTATATATATTCTTAAATTAAATTAAATTAAATTAATTTATATAATTAATTTTTAATTGTTATATATTCTAACTACAAATCTTTTCCCGAAAGTTGCATATGAGATCACTGAGTAATGAGTATTTGGAGAACATTAGTATTTAGTAAATGTTTTATAAAATTCTTTTTTGATAAATGTTGATTGGATAATAAAGAACATAATGTTTATGCTAATACTATACCAATCAAACTCTTAAAGCATATCTAAAAAGACATTATATTTTAGAGTTTGTAAAATTTAAGAGTTGATTACATTATAAGACACTTTATAAAATGTCTTTCCACTAAAAAACACTTTATGCTGGAGGCACACTTTTGGAGAAGTGTTGTTTTCGGACTGTTTTAGCCCTATCTGGTTTATCAAGTGGTTGAATTTCAATGGTATAAAGTGTCTGATAGTTGATCTATACTGCTTATTTTAAAAATACTTAGATTTGTATGGCTGAGATGTAGAATATATAATATAAAATAAAATAAAGAGAGAATTAGGGAAATGCCCATAATAGAGGCTTTAATTAGTAGTTTGTCCATGATAGAACATTTGGGGATGAAAACATACATTTTGTTTGGTTTTGGACGAAAATGTTCTTGGTAACTGACACACGTTTCTGCTGGAAACCAGAAAAATGACAGTCCTATTACATATACCTACATCACTTGTGTCCACATGTTTGCTAAATTTTTTTAAGGCTAACAATATTATTGAATAATAATATTTTTAAAAATATAATATCAAAATATTTTAATAGATAAAATAATCTAACATTTGATATTGTTGAAAACATAAATTGCAATTGATTAAGATCTCAACATCTCTAAAATCTACAATTTTTTTTCAGTCATATCAAATGTTATATGTAACAAATAATGTAAATGTTAATAGATGTGTTAGTTGTTAACAAATACATGTACCAGAGGTGTTAGCTGTTAATAAATTTGTTAACAGTTATTGCATCTGTTAACACATCTGGTATATGTATTTGTTAACAGCTAAGACATCTGTTAACATCTACAAAAATTGTTAACGGTTAATGTCTATGTTAATACACATGGACGTGTATTTGTTAACAGTTAACATCACATTATTTTCTATATATAATATTTATAACACATCTGATAGTATTATATATGGAAAATAATAATTTGAAAAAAATATTATTATTTCAAAAGTAAAGAAAAAACAAAAAAATTAAAGAGAAAATGATCAAATAATAAAAGAGATAATGAGAAAGAAGAGAAATTAAAGGAAAGAGAGTGTGAGAGAGTGTGTCGGGAAAGAGAGAGTGTCAGGAGAGAGAGTGTGTCAGGGGAGAGAGAGAGTCACATGTAAAAGGAATGACAATTTGATCATTATTTTTATTTATGTCAAATCATGTGTATTGGGCTAATTACATATGCTGATACGGTGTTTCAGCAAATATTCTCTAAAATAAAATGTATAAAGCAAAAGCTATACACGTGTTTCTTGTATATTTTTATCCTTTTCCTCTCTCCTATACTTTTTTATATAATTTTAATGTAAAAAAAATCGATATAAATAATTTGTTTTTTTTTGTATAATAAGTTGTTTTTTTTTCTCTGTGTTTTGATATCCATTTTCATATTGTTTATACAAAAATTAATAATTAAAAAATCATATATGTGGACATTCTTTGCGGATGTGTTTATGATTGACAATGTTGCAGTCGAAGATAATTACTAGATGAGTTTTTACATGTTGATAGTCCATTATCCTCTTGTTTATACAATTTTTTTCCAATCATGTAGTTCTATGCTTATTTTTTATTTAAACCATAAAAAATGTATTAAGGTTTTTAATCCGACAATAATCGTTTTGTGTATAAGGTCTTGTGTACACTACTTTATAAATGAGTTTTTACATGTTGATCGTCCATTATCCACTTGTTTATACAATCTTTTTCAATCATGTAGTTCTTTGCTTATTTTTTATTTAAACCAGAAAAAAGTATTAAGGTTTTTAATCCTACGATGAGTTTTGTGTACAAGGTCTTGTGTACACTGTTTTATAAATGAAAGTTCATAATGTGGATGTGAAGAGATTTTGTGGACAAAGTCTTGTAGATAAAGTTTTGTGAAAATCACTTTGACAACAGATACATTAGATATATTAAATCCTTTTAAAAGGTACATTGTTAATATATATGTAAATATAGTAAACAAGTTAAATAGAAGATGTATGGATACGAGATTTGGACATGGACGGAATAATGCTGGTTAAGATCTGATTTTGGTTCCTTTTGTACATAATATATATATATATATATATATATATTATATATATATATATATATATATATATATATATATATATATATATATATTATATATATATATATATATACGTCCACGAAGATAATAACACTAAAGAGAAGTTTGAATATTTTCATGTTTTTTAGCTGCAGAGAAAAAAGAAAAAAAATTGGGAAAGAGATTTTGACGTTTTTTCTCGAGATAGGAAATATAATGAATAAACAGTTTTGTTTTTTTAAATTATTTTATTTGTCTAGTTAATTTTGGACAATTTGATTTAGTTAGGAAACAAAGGAAAAAGTGATAATTCGTAGTGGACTCTACTTGGGGATAGAAAAGACAATAAACACAAAAAATGTGTTTATAGTAAGAAGTGTCTCTATGTGTTATAGGAAAATGGGAATGTGTTTTTACATAAGTATTTGGTAAATGTTTTTTTTTTAATTCTTCTTTGTTAAATGTAGATTGGATAATAAAACGCATAATATTTATGTCAATGACTCTTAGAGCATCTCCAAAAAGACACTCTATTTTAGAGTTTTCAAAACTGTATATATGAAGTTTGTAAGTGTTATGCTCCAAAAGCAAACTTCAAACTGAACTTTAAAACTATTTGTATTTTATATTATGATCCTTATAGTTTTCATAACTAATTTAAATTTATAGAATTTTTATAAATAACTAGCATATATATAAAAATATTACAGCAGTACTAAATGATAAAATGTTACACTATATGAAATTATTCATAGAAATATATGATTAAATATTAAACTATAAATAAAATACCACATTAAGTCTTGTAATATTATTGATGTCTAGTTATATTTTTAATTATTTTAAATTTTATCT